CACAACGTTAACAATATATTTCAAGCTATTATGAACATTATTAAAGAATATCATTGCGAGAGTAAAATTCGTTCTTTTACGTTCGACAACGCTAGTGTAAATAAGGTTGTCATCAATAAATTGCATAGAGTACTTCAACCCGATTTCGATGGTTATTTGTGTTCATATTCGATGTGCATGCCATATTTTTAATTTAATAGTACAAGACAGTTTAAAACATGTTAAGGATGAAATTCAAAGAATTAGGAATGCACTAATATATATCACGATTGCACCTATTAGAAAAACAAGTATTTGATGAATTTTGTGCCCAAGCTGGGGTGGGGCATACAAAAACATTTATTAATGACATAGGGTATAAATGGAACTCCACTTACTTATTATTATTAGAATCATGTGAATGTTTTGAACATTTAATAACTGAATATTATAACATTAGGCATATTAGAGACGAAGATGATACTTTTTTTACTGAGTCCGATTGGAGTTTAGTTGTTAAAATTAAAAAAAAAATTGACAAGTTTTTATGATTCTACAAATATTTTGTCTGGTGTTTATTATTCTACTAGTTGTATGGTCCTCGAACGTCTTTATATAATTACTAGGGTTTTTCATAGATTTAAAGATGACCCTGATTTTAGTTCAGTTATATACTCCATGGAATTAAAGTTTAGAAAATATTGGAAAGACTTGCCTATGTTATTTCCGTTAGCATGCGTNTATTGGAAAGATTTGCCTATGTTATTTTCGTTAGCATGCGTCATGGACCTCGATATAATTTATGGGGTACTAAATTTGTAATTGATCAAATTTCACAAGCTTCAACTTTTAATGTACCTATCACTTATAGAAATTTGGAACAAATTTTATGTGAAATGTATGATTTAAGTGCTCAACGAATGGGTGCTTATATTAATCGGGTAACCTCCGGCTCTATAACTACTCCCCTATTGTTATAGGAGATGACGACGCTGAAGTTTTAAATTTATTCGAAAGCATGAACTCATATAGATATGATTCAACTGCATTTGCATGTGGTTCCTCTAGTAGAAGAAGTAGTTTGTCTTCCACTGCATATACTCAAGCATCGAGAAGTGAACCAAATGCGTTGCCTACTGAATTAATTG